ACTTTCCCGTGTACAGGAACCACCCAGGTGGGTCTCGTTGAGATGAGGACGCTGACCCAGTGAGCTGGGCAGGGTGAAGGTTCTGCGTGTTCTGCAAGCATGCAGCTCATGAGCTGCTGTCACAGACCATGCTTTGAGTGGTGTGCTTTTCCCCCCGCTGGATGGAGACTTAGAAATTAGCCTCAGAAGGTGGGCTGCCTCCGGAGGTCCACAGGCTGATGTCAAACCCAGGAAAGCAGAGTGGGTATCGGGTTTTTATGTCCCCAGACATTTGCGAATCAGCGAAACTGAAAGCTTAAGTCTCCCCGCTTCTATCATATCTTAGCAATGGAACTTTGTGCAAATCATGGGGCCATTGCTGGCTCTCAGTTTTCTGATTTAAAAAATAGAAGTGGTTTGTCTACTTCGGATAGGGTGTGGTTGTAAGGATTGAATGAAACAATGTAACGATTTCCTAAGGATTGAATGAAATAATGTAACGAAGGTGCTGTGCTAACCAAAGGCCTCGGGTATGTAACCAATACTGCTATCACTACCACTGTGTCATCTGCGTGTGCACACGTTGGTGTGCAGATATGTGTGTGCCCCCCTCTCTGCTTTTGGTTCTTTAAAAAAATCAGTCAGTCAATGTCTATTCATGTGGTCATTTTCTCTGGTGTGCATGTAGCGGTCAAAGGACAAGGGACAATCAGTTCTCTTCTTCCACCATGTGGGTTCTGGGGATTAACCCCGTCTTCAGGCTGGGCAGCAGGTGCCTTTACCTGCCAAGCCCTCTTGATGGCTGTGGTGGTCTGAAAGAAGATGGCCCACAGAGGGACTGGCACTATTTGAAGGTGTGGCCTTTCTGGAGTAGGTGTGGCTTTGGTGGAGGAAGCCTGTCTCCGTGGAGGCGGGATTTGAGGTCTCATGTGTGCTCAAGCCACGCCCGGTGAGACAGACCACTTCCTGCTGCCCGCAAGCCAAGATGCTGGACACTCGGCTACTTCACCAGCACCTGTCTCCCGGCGCGCCACCATGACGGTAATAGACTAAACCTCTGAACCATAAGCCCCAACGCAATGTTTTCCTTTATAAGAGCTGCCGTGGTCATGGTGTCTCTTCACAGCAACAGAAACCCTGGCTAAGGCAGAGTTTCTCACTGATCTGGAGCTCTGAATTCAGTAGGCTAGGTTGGCTGGCTAGCGGGACCCGAAGGTCTGCCTGTCTCTGTACCAACAGAGACATCTCCTCTTACAGCTTTTCACACATGTTTCTGTCTCACGCTCCTCCGCCTGTTTGCTTTGTGGATCGCTGGTTGTTTGTTTTGAGACAAGGTCTCATGCTGTAGACCCGGCTGGCCTGGAACTCACTATGTAGCCTGAGCTGGCCTCAAATTGATGTTAATCCCTCTGCCACAGCCTCCCAAGTGTTGGAACTGAAACACCTGTGCCTTCTTTGCATTTCTTCCCGGATTTGTTAAGCTCACTGCTCTCCAGTGAGCTCACCTGGCTGGAGTGAAGGGCGGGGCTCATATACACACACACAGCTGCCAGAGATGTATGTTGGTTGAGCCTTTGGAAGTTGGGTCTGGGAGTGGGGGCGGGGGAAATGGCTGAGCTTTTAGCACTTGCTGCTCTTGTGAAGGATTCAGGTTCTGCTCACAGTTTTCTACATTTACTGTTTTAAGGTTCAACTTAGGAATATTTCTCTAAATCCTGAAGAATCTTGTATGTGTCCAACTTTGATCTAATAATCGCAGTTCTAGGGGAGTGGCCGGAGTAGCTTGGGGTTCACTGGCCATGCTTAAGGAGAATGCACCTTACTGTACTAGTAAGGAATTAGAAACAGCACAGTTGTGAGCAATGGGAAACAGCCAAGCAAAAACAGGTCTAGAGAGAGAAAGTGATAGGCCAAAATCAATTTAGTGGTGAAGTGCTTAAATCCAGATGTCTCTGGGACCATCTCTGGTTATTTGGACCTGAGATACTAGTGATTTTATATTCTTTTTTTTTCCTTCTAGTTTTTGCAATGTGCATATTATATAATAATTACATAAACATAGAGTTCTGGCCCCATAACGGCAGTTATGTATTTCTCTGTGATGTTCCTATCCAAGGGTGATTTATAGACTGAGTGGTACCCTTGGGGACAGCCACACACACACAAATCCTTCCTCTGTGTACAGACTCTCGAGAGCTTGCTATGGGGCCTCAAAAAGGGCAGCCAGCGCGTCAGTGTGGGAAACAGGTCACATTCTCTGAGGAAGAGTTAGCCACATGCGAGGAGACTCTGCTGATGCTGTTGGTGGTCCTCTTTCCTCCTGCCACTGTCCTTCCAGTGCTGAAGTAAGGGCTCTCACACCCGCAACCCTCAGTAATGGGATGTCCCTGCAGATGAGGACCGTTGTGACGGGACAGCAAGTGACTGGAGACACATTGCCTTCTCCAAAGTGACTGAAGGTGTGGAGTAAGCCAGGGACCTGCCTGGAGACTTCCTGAGGCCAGCGGGAGGCAGATAACGACATATTTCAAGTTCAGGGTCACCTAATTTTAACTCCTGAATATCTCCTGACGTGGCCTTATGGGGCGTTCATGTGATCTGTGGCCAGAGTGAGGCCTCATCAGGCGGAACCGGCAAGCCTCAGATTTCCACTTGGGAAATGGGTTGTTCCGTGTTCATTACTTCATGGCTCCCTGATGGATACCTGCTAAATACAGCCACTTAGAATGCATAGTTACAGTAACCATGCATCCATCAGTGCCAATGGAATTGGGTCCTTAGATAGGCGAACGGCAACTCCTGTTGCTGCTGATTTCAGATAGCATTTCACTGTGCAGCCCTGGCTGATCTGTAACTCCTGAAGTAGGCCAGGCTGGCCTTGGATTCAGAGAGCTCTGCTTGACTCTGCCTCCCAAGTGCTGGGAGTAAGGGCAATTTGCATAAATGTACCGATGCCAGGCTCCTTCCGATGTGTGTGAGTTACTCTTCTCTCACTGAGACAAAGAACAATTTATAGAAGGAGGAGTTTTCGGGCTTACGGTCCCTGAGGGTGAGTCCATGCAGGCAGTAGGTGGTAGACACGTCTTGAACCAAAAGCACAAAGAACAGAAAGCAACAGAATTGAGAGTATTGGACTCTCAGTGCCCACCTCCAGCTCCATACTCCTCCAACAAGGCCTCACTCCTGAATCTTCCAAACAGCACCACCAATTAGGGACCAAATGTCTGCAACTATGGAGACGTCCCATTCAGCCCACCAGAGCAGAGTAGGTGTGTAGTGTTCCCTGCCCACTTCTGGGCTCAAAGGACACAGACATGGAATTGCCTACTAAACACATACATTGTAAGGTGGTTGTGATTCAGTTTTTTATTTTTAATGTGTTTACGAGCCACATATCTGCAGTTTAGTAAAAGAGTAACAGCTTAATAGGCGATGGTTGAAGGGCTCTAAGACTTGTTACACAGGAGAGAAGAGGTGCCTGTCACTGTAGTGGCACACCCACCCACACACACACACACACACACACACACACACACACACCCACACACACACACACATACACACACACACACACGCACACACACACACACACACAGAGGAAGGTGACAGTATTTTCCTGAGGTGCTACTGGGACTGTTCAGTTGGTGAAGCGCTTGTCATACGAGCATTAGGACAGACTGGAGGGACCCAGGAGTTAGCCTTGCCTGCCTGTGTCGCCAAAACAGTGAAGCTCCAGGTTTGGTGAGAACCTGACCCAAAAAATAAAGCGAAGAGTAATAGAAGACCACATCTGGCCTTTGCACACATATGTACACGACGTGGACACACACCCACACACACACCAGATAAACATTATTATACTTCCCCAACACATGCCTTTGCACACACATGTGCACAACGTGGACACACACACACAGACAAAACATATAAACATTATTATACTTCCCCAACACAGTCACATATATGGAGCAGTCCCTTCTGTACTAATATGAAATGCTCTTCAAATAGACTATTACAAAGGAAACTCAAAGCTCATACTTAAAGTGTATAAAGTTCAGACTGTCCAGACTTGCATGCTTGCCACGCTTGCCGTGGAAGAGTGAAGAGTAAAGACCAAAGAGCATTGTGGGTGGACTAAATACTTAGAGCTGTCGTGGTTTAAATGTGTTTCTGTGTTTGGACACTCGGTCCCAGCTGATGGTGCTGTGTTTGGGAGGCTGTGGAACCTTCCTGAGACACAGCTGGAGGAAGCTGACCGCTGGGGAGTGAGCCTTAGTGGTCGGACCTGGGTCCTTTCCCCTTGGCTGGTCTCTCTGTGCTTCCTGATTGCTGAGTGGGTGTGAGAAGATGTCCTTAAGTTTTTCCTCCTCCGTGCCTTCCTCGCCATGGTGGACTGTTCCTTCTCAGGAGCTGGCTGGCCATGGCAATGAGAAAGGAAACCTCATACCTTAGTCTCTTTAAACAACGACGACGACGACAAAAACAATCCCTGACAGAAAGGGGTGATCTTGGCTCACAATTCAAGGCACAGATGGGTAAATCAAGGCAATGGAAGACCGGCGAAGCTGGTCCCCTACACAAGACACAGAGAGCAGTGAATTCATGTGCCTGTTCAGGTCCTTTATCCAATTCCAGAATCCCAGCCAGGGAAGGGTCTACTCATCCCAACGGACTCAGTCAAGGCAGCCCTCCACGGGCACCCCTCAAGGCCCGCCTGCCATGTTTACATTCCCATTTTAGATTCTGTCATGTTGACAGCACTGTGACATAGTTTAAGAGGCCACCACAGATCCGGTCCCTTCTGAGTAACCACCCTTTAGAGCCCGGGTTTCTGAGTCTTTGCTCTTTGCTGTCTGCTTTTTCTCTCTCCCATACTTTCATACGCGTAAATGCAAGTAGCAGTAATTTGGAATCTGGAATCTCATTGTTAAGCCTGTAGAACCAAGGCCCAGCCTAAACTCCTGTGGTACCAGTGACAACCTCTGCTTGCTTTGTGTCGTTTGCTAAGGGAAACTGTCAAAATGGACAGACCAGATGAAGAAGACAAATCTTCTGAAAATCTACAGACGGATTCCCTTCACAAGATGGACTCCAAAGAATGGGTAAGCTAAGCTGGGGCCTGACGATATATGTGCTTGTAATCCCAGGATAATGATGTGTTCAAGGTCAGCCTTGGTATAGTAGACCCCAAGCACAATCAGACAAAAAAAGCAAAAGGAAATAAAGAAATGACCTCCCCTGCGTCTCAGAGGAGGAAGAAAATGCCCTTCGCAGTGGAGCACCGAGACTATTGTTTCCCACAGTTCTGTCTGCACACGGAGGTCTTTCTAACCCCCCCCCCCACACACACACCCCTGTGCTTTATGTGTCAGTTTTGTCTGTGTGGATCAATTACAACTGGCGTAGGTCACCTTAGCGCAGACGCTATGTGTAAAATCATCCCCGGCTTGTAGAATGTCTTCCAACAGAACCATCCATTCGGCCTCAATTCCATCTGCAGGGGGACCCCCTCCTCTCCCTGCTTCTGGTGCCCCTGGGGTTGCCCTGGCTCCCACTGCCTCCCTGCAGTTCCTGTCGCCATCCCCCTGCACCTTACCCACAGCTTTCTCCTCTGCCTCACACTAGGGCCTTCTTGCTGGGTTTGGGAGCTGCCCAGATAATCTATGATGACCTGATTGCAAGCTGCTATAACTCTATGACAAAGTCTGCAAGGACTTTTGTCCAAACAAAGTGGCATGTGCAAACAGGGGACATATGTCCTTGGTGCCAGCCGTTAGCCCACTGTGTTACATGAACTTTGATAAGCCACCTGCTCGAAGGCTGAGAGCGTTTCCAACCCGCCCGTGTCCGCTCAAGTCTACTTGAGGATGCAGACTCAGCCTTCTGGCGAGCACTGAGGCGTGTGCCTGTGGCCTCGCCTGGGGTTTGCAGTTGCCTCGGGGAGGAACACTGTTCTGCACACCCCATGCCTTCCTCTTTTCAATTTAAAGTTTGTCTTATTGAAGCACAGGAGTTTTGCTCAAAACTTCCTCAGAGAACTATTTTACAGTAGAGTTAAAAAAGAAAACAAAACAAAAAACAAAAACCCCCACACACAGATGTCCTGAGGCAAGTTATTGTCCTTTTTTTTGTAAATTTTTGCATGTATAGAGTTAAAATGCCAGAGAATGACTTATATATATATATGTATGTATGTATGTATGTATGTATGTATGTATAATACATAAATATATATGTATAATATATAATATATATATTTATGTATAATATATATAATATATAGTTTTTTAGAAAATCAAGCTAAAAGAAAAAAGACGGAAAGAGAAACAAGCAGGGAGAACTTTTGTGGACTAAATCCAATAGAGTGGGCCTTTGCCATGAAATAAATAAGGAGAGAACTCAGAGGCACAATGACCAGTCATGCGCCTACAGCCACACCTTAAAATGGCCAGCACTGGAGGCATCTGCTTTATCTCTGTGTGTATAAATAGCTGCACTTTGCGGAGCCATTTAAAAGTAGAACAAACACAACAGTTTGTCCCTGTTGCCTTCAGAGAGCATCTCTAAAAATAAAAGCTGTCTTCTATGCATCCAAATTACTGTCATCACATCTAGAGAAATTAGCAGTTTCACGCGTAAAGGAGTCTAAGCTTCTCATCTCCCAATGTTCCAGTTGCCTCAAATGTTTTTAGAGCTGTGTTATTTTTAAAGATTCATTTGTGCATTTTTTGTTTTGTTTTGTTTTGTTTTTGAGACAGGGTTTTTCTGTGTAACGTTGGAACCTGTCCTGTAACTCGCTCTGTAGATCAGGCTGGCCTTGAACTCACAGATGTCCTCCTGCCTCTGCCTCCCGAGTGCTGGGATTAAAGGCGTGCGCCACCACTGCCCAGCTCATTCGTGTATTTTATGTGTATAGTGTTTTCCCTACATTTGTGTGTCTGTGCACCATTTGCGTTCCCAGTGCCCTCAGCGGCCAGAAGAGGGCGTCAGAGTTCCCGGAACTGGAGTCATGGGTGGTTGTGGGCTGGGAACTGAACTTGGATCCCAGAGCTGTGTGTGTGTATATATCACTGGAACAAGATCTGTGCCATGCACTTAGTTTTCATAGCTCAGTAGAGTGCCTTACTATGAAACACGTGTACTTTGCCTTTTTGTGATATTGAGGTCCTCACCATTCACTTTGTTGTGTTGTGGTCTTGTTAAGTAGCCTAGGCTGGCCTATAAGTCACTATGTGCCGTAGGCTGGCCCAGGACTCACTGGGTGAGCCAGATAGGCAGTCTTCCACCCCAGCCTCCTGGGGGCCGGGTGTACAGATGTGTACCCTGGCTTGTCTGGCGTTGAGTTTTTTGAAGAGATCAGAAGAGCTGTGTCCTTTGAGTCAAGTTTTGGAGTTCATAGTTGGGTGCATTTCTACTCTTTACCCAGTCCTTCCTGGGAGGCTGGTACTGGAAAGCCTGTCCTCCAGCCTGCTGCAAGCTAGGCAGAGGGCTTGTCTCCATCCATGCACTAGAAGGCAGGGCCTCAGACAGGCCGTGTCAGGTAGGGCTGGAAGAGCCAGGATCTCTCAGAACTACCCATCTGTTCTTTTATTTCCTTCTGTCATCATCCCATGCAGGTTAAGTTGGAGCAGGACTCTAAGCACAGCCAGAACCCACTGACCAATCGGGATGGGCAAGAAGCAACTCTTGTCTGTGAAGACCCTCAGATGTCACTGCAACAGTTTTCGGAGACGAGCACCCTTGCGCCGTAAGCTCTGACAGGACTGGGTGGGGAGCACTGAGTGATGTAGGGAAGACCACGAAGCTTAGAAAGGGATTCAGAGAAAGCCTGTTGAACCATGCAGCAACCACGTACGTGGGTGGGAATGGCTGACCCTGCCCAACAAGGCTGAAGAGTCACCAGTCCTGGCCTGAAGATGCTGCTGGCACAGGCATCAATCAGGTCTGCTGAGTGTCCCTGGGTCTGGAGCTAAGAATTGACAGACATCACAAAAGTCTCAGATAACTGCTTGTATAGGAAAATCACCCTAATCGTTATGAAAAGCCTACCATTAAGCCCTTGCATGTCCTCTCCTCCCCTGGCCACACAGAGGGAGATTTCAAATCTATTTATTTTTTAGGGCTGGGGTAATAGCTCAGTACTTACTTAGCATGTGTGAGGCCCTGGGGTCAACCCCTAGCATTGAGAAAAAAAAATACATTTTTTTTTAAAGTAAAAGCTTTTCAAGAAAAAAAAAAGTTATGTGTATGAATGTTTTGCATTCATCACGTATGTTTGTACAATGCACATGTGCCTGAGGAAGTCAGAAGGTGTCAGGTCCTCTTCTGCCCCTGGAGTTACGGATGCTTGTGAACCACCATACCGGTGCTGGGAGTCAAACCTAGGTTCTGCGCAAGAGCAACAAGTGCTTAAAACCACTTGAGCCAATTCTCCAGCCCCACACAAAAGTTTTAAGGGCCTGGGCATGTAACTCTGGCGGAGTGCTTGCTGTGTGTGAGGTCCCGAGTTTAACTCTCAGTGACACACGTGTGTATTTTGCACGATTATTTGCTTTGCCCAGGCTTTTAAAGACCCATTTACACAGATAAATAAAGTAAATGGCCACCTGGCCCATCTTGGTGTCGGGAAACTATAGCGATCAAGTTTCCAGTCCAAGGAAGAGCGTATAGAGCTCTGTGAGGCGTTTCCAACGATCAAGGTCTTGTTTCCACAGGACCCCAGAGAGCTCAATCCTCAAGCTCAACTACTGGAATGCAAAGATGGGTCTACAAATGAAGGAGCTCGGAGATGACCACGTTGACTGGTTGGAGAAGATCAACAACATCATACAAAAGATAAACAATACAGAGAGCACAGTGAAGAGGTAGAGCAGAGATGGGGACTGGCGGGAAAATAGTGTGTGTGTGGGGGGGTCTCGCGCATCAGTGCAGCCTGGGGGCAAGAAGCACAGTCCATGGTTTGGAAGTCCACATCCCAGGCTCACATCCAGGGTCAGAAGTCCACATCCCAGGCTCACATCCAGGGTCAGAAGTCCACATCCCAGGCTCACATCCTAGGGTTTGGAAGTCCACATCCCAGGCTCACATCCAGGGTTTGGAAGTCCACATCCCAGGCTCACATCCAGGGTCGGAAGTCCACATCCCAGGCTCACATCCAGGGTTTGGAAGTCCACATCCCAGGCTCACATCCAGGGTCGGAAGTCCACATCCCAGGCTCACATCCAGGGTTTGGAAGTCCACATCCCAGGCTCACATCCAGGGTTTGGAAGTCCACATCCCAGGCTCACATCCTAGGGTTTGGAAGTCCACATCCCAGGCTCACATCCAGGGTCGGAAGTCCACATCCCAGGCTCACATCCAGGGTCGGAAGTCCACATCCCAGGCTCACATCCAGGGTTTGGAAGTCCACATCCCAGGCTCACATCCAGGGTTTGGAAGTCCACATCCCAGGCTCACATCCTAGGGTTTGGAAGTCCACATCCCAGGCTCACATCTCAGATCTTTCAGGCTCTCGTCTCTCAACGATTTCTTCCATACACTTTTTAAAAATTCATTTATTTAAAACGGAGTTATTTATCAAATGGATGCACACAGGGACCCAGTGTGTGTGTGTGTGTGTGTGCATGCTCTCATTTTTACCTATGTGTGTACACGCATGTGGGCACACGGCATGCGTGTACATGCATGCGAGCACAGGTGTCCAGGAGGTCAGAAGTATCTGATCCCTGGAGCTTGAGTTACAGGCCAGTGTGAGCCGCCCTGTGGATGCTGAACCCAGGTTTTAAAGAGTGCCAGGCAAGCACTCCACTAACTGAGTCTCTGCATCAGAGAGACTGAGTCCTGCTGGCCCATTTATCGGGCGAATTAATCAGCCCTTCTAAGGGCTTGCCTTTCCCGTGTATAAAAAGTTACTCATGGCGCCAGCCTCATCGCTGGCTCAGTTGTGAGGGTTCAAGGGCAAGGCTGGTACATAGCCAGTGACCAACAAACGGAGCCTCTTAGCGGAAATGAGTGTCTGAAGCCTTGAGCTTCCCAACCATGTTCCAACTTCGCACAAAGGAGCTGCGCTCCTAGGCTCCTAGCTGTTCCCTCTTTACTGTTGAAAAGCGTCTGTTCACACACACCCCATCCAGGTGGGCCTTTCTATCCTCCAAAGCATTAAAAAGGATCCGAATCCCATATACTGTGTACCTTCTGTTTTAAACTGAAGTATAATTTTATTACAGGCAATTATGTTTTTCTAATGTGAGGCCCTGTGAGTTTCACAAATGCTTATAGCTATGAAATCAACACAGTGAGGACATGCCTTGATCATCCACAAAACCCATTATTTCTGTCTTTCCTTGTGTTCGTTTTAAGACTGTGTCTCCTGTAGCCCGGGCTAGCTTGGCACACCTGATCCTCCTGCCTCCGTCTCCCAAGTGGGGTTAGGTGTGCACACACCACTTGTTACTGGGTTGAAGATTTTTGATTGAGTCTGGATAAAAGCCCAGATTCCCGGTATTTGGATTTTTAAAACGTCACTGTCCAGGCTGTGGCTACAGTTCAGTGCCTCTCATGCACAAGTCCCTAGGTTCAATCCCAGCACTGGAGCAAGACTTGAGCCTGTTCTCCCCACACCTTTAACAGCATCTCTCAAGAAGCGGGGGCTCGAATCCCCTTACTGCTACCTTCCATGTGGAATGACAGGGCTTCAGTTTTGAAAGACCAGGAGTCCCTCCCATGTCGGATGATTGCTTTCTCAATCCACAGGACTTAGTCCATTTCTTCATCTGTTTGTAGCCTGTTAACTGAGGTGATATCCCTGGAAAACCAGTCTGAAAATTTGGAGGACCCCGATCAGGAAGCAAACATTGAGGTGAGCTGTGTTCGGACTTCGGCCTCCACCCTCCCTCCTCGGGTACCAAAGGGATCACAGCCAGGAGGAAACACGCCTCCATCACAGGATGGCACACTGCCAAGTCCCTTCCTCCCAGACTCAGGGCTTCCCCTGCTTGACGCTCAGAATCCTGGACTCTGCCATGCATACCTGCTGTCTTGATGTCCTGGTGAGGACCTGCCTGCCCGACTCTCAGGATCAGAGAAATCACATAGGGACTGGGAATTTGTTAACTGTGTCCTGAGAAATCAAGGGCTGAGCCATCTGTGTGGCTTTTGATGCCTTCTTGTGACAGGTTCTTGTGTTATTTCCAAACCTAGAAAGCGTCCCGTGTCTTTTATCTCTCTGTGTTCTTAGAGATTCTTTTCAGAAAAAGGGTTTTTTTTTTTAAATGTTTACTTTTAGTTTTCATTTTATTTATGTATTTATTGTATGTTTGTGTATGTGTGTGTATATCCATACATGTGCACATGTATGTGTGGATGTGTGTGTGCATGTGTGTATGTGTGTGTATGCATGTGTACATGTGTCAATGGCTACTTGCCAGATTTTTTCTTTCTACCTTGTGAGGCCCAGGCATGCAAGTAGGTTAGTGGCAAATGCTCTCACCTGCTAAGCCATCTTGTTGGTCTAGTTTTCAGTTGTTTTTGTTTTGCTTCGAGACAAGACTCTTCTCTAAAGCACTGGTTAGTCTGGAACTTATTATGTAGACTAACCTGTAGGTGGAGTTTTTCCGTCCTGACAAAATAAATGCTTGGCTGATAGCTCGGGCTCATTACTAGCTAACTCTTCCATCTTAAGTTAGCCCATTTCTATTCATCTACATTCTGCCACATGACGTTACCTCCCTTTCCTCTTTCGCCTTCTGCCTCCTCTCTGTGTCTGGCTGGCGACTCCTCTGACTCCGCCCATATTCTTCCCAGTGTCCTTAGTCTGGTTTTCCCACCTAACCTTACCGTGTCCAGCTATTAGCCAGTCAACTTCTTTATTAATCACAGTGACATACAATCACAGTGACATACACAGTGTAAAGGAATATTCCACACCAACCTTGTTAGTTTGTGCTGACCTTGAACTCAAAGCAAGCCAGCCACTTCAGTCTCCCAGTGCTGTGAGTTACCACACTCAGGGACATTTGTGTTTTAAGAGGGGAGGGGCTGAGATCATTGGAAAGGAGAAGGTATCACGTGCATGTATGAAACTGTGCTGGATTTATGCAGTTTTGTATACCCACTAAAAGCAAAGTACACCAAATGCCACACATGAGCTTAAGTCCCAGAAGAAGTTCAAATGCCCAGCAGTCGATAGACAGATAAGCCGTATCTTGTGTGCACAAGGGAACACCGCCCTGAAATAAAAAAGGAGCAAACTTCTGACTCTCCCAACAGCGTGAGTGGTCTGAGTCACAGTAGGCTGTTTGAAAGATGCCAGCTTAGATGGTTACGGACTTCACGGTCCGTTTATGTAACAAAAAGGCAAAACCATGGGGACAGAAGGTAGCCGGGCCCTTGCTGGAGCTGAAGGGGGAAGGGAGGAGGCAGTGAAGAAATTACCCTGTAAGTCTATTGCCCCAGCACCTGGGAGGCAGAGGCAGAGGACAGGGAGTCCAAGCTCACCCTCCTGGTAGTACAACACCCTATTAAACCACGTGATTCATGGGCTGGTGATGGGCTAATGTACAAAACAAGGGTGAAGCTATAGCCCCAAATGTGACCACATGCTGCTGGAGGTTGCTGGCTGCTCAGGTTGACCAGTACTCCCGTTGCTTGTGCTGTACCAGCCCAATGCCTAGCTAGGAGGTCACTTGCATAGGGTGTGGCCAATCAACCATACCTTTTAAAAAAAAGTTTTGTGGCTATCTGTCTGCCTGTCTGTCTGTGTGTCCCATGCATGCAGTGCTCACAGAGGCCCTAAGAAGGCATCAGATCCCCCGGGGACAGCAGTTAGAGGCAGTTGTGAGCCGTCGTGTATGTGCTGGGGGTCAAGAGCAGCCAGTGTTTTAACCAATCATATCTTAGTGGTGTGATTCAGTATTGTCTTTTATAAACCACGAGGGGAAAGTAGCCATGAAACCTGAAGTCTGTTGGCCGTGCTTGGGTTTCTCTTAAAAGCTGTTTTACTTCAATTCCACATGTCATCCCTTCTAACTTGTGTTATAGGAGAAGATCATAGAAATCCGAAAGCAATTGAAAGAAATGAACATCAAACTGGCGCAGGTAATGAGCTGTCTTTATAAACCAGGAGGAAAAAACAACCCTTGAAAGCATAGAGTTTAAACTTGAGGGGAGGGGAACTCGGAAGTTAGCCTGGGGGGGGGGGGCGGTCAGTGTCACTATGCACATTTTCAGAAGACAAACCACGTGACTCCAAGACATGAAGGGGCTCAGTGGGAGAGCTTGTGTGAGGCACGTGTGAGGGGTCCAGGTCCAACCTGTAACTACACACACACATGCATACACACACACACACACACACACAGAGACACACAGACACAGACACACACACACACACTCACACACACACTCACATAGACACATACCTACATGCACACAATGACACAAATACATACAGACACAAACACAGACATACACACACATACACACACATGCAGACATGCACAGATGAATACACACATGCACAGAATTATACATAATGATGTAGACACATACATACACACATATACAGACACACACAGATGAATACATGCATACACATAGACACAGATACACACACAAAGACACAAACACATACACAGACACACACAAATACACACACAGATACACACGTGCATACACACAAAGAAACACAGACAGATACATGCATGTACACACACACACAGCAATTCCAGATTTAAAAAAAAAAAAAAAGTGCCACTTTCAGGCCAGTGGGAGGACTCAATGGGTGTAGTGGCTTGCTGCCAAACCTGGCAACTTGAGTTTGATCCCCGGAATCCACAGGATAAAGGAGAGAAACAGACTCCTACATACTGTTCTCTGCCTCCAATACCTGTTCCATGGCATGAATGCTAGCCATCACAAATAAACAAATGTGATAAACGGTGGGAAAGTATGTAAAATTCCACTTACCCCCTTCCTTTCCCATGTATATAAACCCCACACGAAGTGTCGCATAACAAATGTCCGTATATTTTTTTCTTCTAACAAAAGTAACACTTATTTTGGCAAGTAAAACAATATGAAATTAAGTCACATAAAATGGAAGATTAGCCGGATGTGGTACTATACGCCTTTAATCCCAGCATTGGGGCACGGTGGATGGAGGCAGGTGGGTCTCTGTGAGTTTGAGGCCAGCCTGCTCTACAGAGCGAGCTTCAGGGCAGCCAGGACTCTGTAAAGAGACCCCGTCTCAAACAAACAAGCAAACAAGCAAAAAAGAAGAACCAGGGTCCTTCAAAGATAAGCACAATGAGCACTTGTGTGTGTTTCGTTCTTCTGAGATCACGTTTATTCACACATTGAATGCTGCTGTCGTCAGATGCACACACACTTGTGTGTGTTTCGTTCTTCTGAGATCACGTTTATTCACACGCTGATCCTCAGCTTGCTGTGGTCAGATGCACCTTGTCTGCGGGTAGCTTTTCCCAGGTCTCTTCAGCGCAGTCTGTGTCCGTGGGATGTCACTGCTGTACAGCTTGAGGCTGATGTTTGAGTTTCTTGGGTTTGTTTTCTTGGATAGTTGAGATTTTGTACATGAGTGTAACATGATAAATAAAAGACCCAGAGACATATGTTGGGGTTCAAGCTTCAAGCTGAGGATCAGAAAAGCAGAGCAGCTGGCCACTAGCTCTCACCTTTACCTCAGACTGAAAGGTGATCTTTGCTCCCCCAAACCTCAGACTGTGATCCCAGACTGATTACTGAAAACCCTGCTCCTATCTTTTATATATCTCCAGTTCTGGGATTAAAGTTGTGAGCTCTGTTACTCTTTTAGCCTGATTGAATCTTGTGTAGTCCTGGGTGGCCTTGAACTCATAGAGATCCATCTGCCTCTTAATCCTGAGTCCTGGGAGTAAAAGTGTGCGCCACCACTGCCTGACCTCTATAGCTTGAGGCTGATTTTGCTTTCTGAATCCCCAGGCAAGCTTTAATAAATCATAAATACCACCACACATGAGTGTTTACCGTGAGAAACTGAGTCTCAAGAAACCAGTCCTGGGACTCGGACCGTGGCTCAGTGACGGGCACAAAAACAGTCCAGGGTTCAATCACCAGCTCCTCATAAACCAGGCCTGGTAGCACACACATGTAATCCCAGTGTTTGGGAGGCAGAAGCGGGAAGATCTGGATTCAAGTTCATGCTTGACTGCACAACAAATTGGAGGCCAGCCTGGAATTCGTGAGGACCATGGCTGGAAAACTTAAGGAAAGAAAGAGCAGGGGGAAAGCCTCCGCTGTTCCTGTCAGCGTTCCCTTAAGAATCCAGACAAGAGTACGCACCCTCTCCCAGACAACCTGCTAGAGACTCCGGAAGCGAACGAACGGGAGAGGACTTCTCTGGGCAAGTCACTCCTGCTGAGCCAGAGACCGGGATATTCAAGCTGATCTGATGAGATCTTACATTTATACCTTAGAAATGTTTACCTATTTGAAAAAAAACCTTTATTGTTTTCCCATAAACCCACTCTTTCACCAGCTTCTACGTTGGTGCAAGATTTTTGTCTTTAATGTTAAGAGTATGGATGTTTTCAACAGCATGTATACCACACACATGCACTGCCCTTGGAGGCCAGAAGAGGGCGCTGCGTTTTTGGAACTGGAATTTCAGGGGATTGTAGGCACCATTTGAGTGCTGAGGACTGATCATGGGTCCTCTGTAAGAGCAGCCAGTGCCCTTAACTGCTGAGCCGTCTCTCCAGCACTAGGAGATTCCTAAGGGCCATCAAAGTTGTAACAAGCAGGAAGGATGGCTTATTAGAAGATATTACATAAACCCATACGTGTGTGCATGTGTGTGTGTGCTGTGCATGAGTGTGTGCATACATGTTTGCATGGACACAGGTGTGTGTGGTGGTGTCTGTGTGTGCCTATGAGGCCTCAAGTTGGTATCAGGCATTTTTTTCTCAATTGCTCTCTACTTTATTTTGAGGCAGGATCCCTCGCTGATCCAGAGTGCTCTAGTTCTGGCCAGTCCAGCTAACCAGTCTGCTCTGAGATGCTCCTGTCTTAGCCAGTCAGGCAGTCCCCCTCCCCCGCCCCCCCCTCCCCTTTCCTGTCCAGCTCCCACGTGAGTTCAGGGCATCTGAACTTTTACCCTCACACTTGCAAGGCAAACGCTTCATTAACTGAGTCAACTTCTCATCCCGAAGTTTATGTATTCGTTTATTTATTTGTTTTTGGTTTCTTTGAAACAGAGTCTCACTACCTAGCCCTGGCTGGCCTTGAACATGCAGAGATTCTCCTGCCTCTGCCTCATGTGCTGGGATTGAAGGCGGGCACCACCGTGCTGGGGAATTTATACGTACAAAGGACTAAAACGAGCCCGTGTTGATCTGGGTTATTCTTCCTGCAATATGCCGTCCATGACCTGGTCGGTCGACACGGTTTCCATTCATTTGCTTTTGTGGTATTAAGCACGGAGCGCGGGGCCCTGTCTGTGGTGGGCAAGCAGCGCACCTCATCAGTACTGCATCCTCACACCCAGAATGTGCTGTCAAGGGAACTGACTATGTCCCTCAGGAAACATGACTGTCTCAGAACAGCCACTTTGTATTTGGTACAAAAAGAAAAAACAAACAAACAAACGGGAGATTTTATTATATAAACCAGAAAGACACACTCATCAGCGTACTCAGACCCGTGGATGTCTTTCTAGGTCGATGCTTGCAATGAAGCCCGTGAATTAAAGGAGAAACTCATCGAACGGATAGAGGTGAGATGCCCCAAGTCTACCTGTCCACGCAGGCCAGTCGGGTTCCAGCTAAATGTGGCAGTTACTTCCCAGGGAGCTCACCTACACCTCATTCTGGTCTCTGGCTGGTCACGTCTTCTTTTCCGTCTGCTCCTCATATCTTAGTCACCTGGAGCTTTCCTCCGTGTCCATGTGTTCTGCACTGTGCGAGGCTCGGTACAATTGACATCTCTTCCCCCAGACCACCTCCTGCCTCTCTCGTCCAGGGAATGAGTTCATCTCTGAGTTCCTTCCTTAGACGTGGGGGGAAGCGTCATGTGTGGCTGAAACAGTGAACAGATTGGCCACTTCCTGTTCCGTGTCCTAGAGAAGCACCTGGTGGGCACCGGTCTCTCTCTCTGTGTGTGTGTGTGTGTGTGTGTGTGTGTGTGTGTGTGGCATGGGTGGCTACACTGAGTGGACAGGTTGAGTACAGGGGCGTCATTGCCACAGTTGAAGGTTCCTCCTCTTCTTCTTTCCCAGCTGTGTTCATGTTGCTGAGTGTGCACTTGCCATTGGCCACCTGAGTTGTCCCGGGGGTGGGGGGATGGGGAGTGGGTGAGTGGGGGGGGGGACACGGACGGACAACGAGAATTGTGTTCTCATTGAGAAAAGACAGGCGGTTGCTCTTTGCATTTTTCTCCCCAGAGCTTTTATAAGGAAATGAATGTACTGAACACTAAGCTGGAGATGTACAACACTCAAGGGAGGGAGACAGACAGACAGACAGACTCCCACAGCTCGGAAGACTTGGATACCGAGCAAACAGAGCCCCTGCTGCCCGAGGGTCCCCCAGCCCCTTCCGGGTCACACCCTCCTCTCTACAGTGCAGTGTGGTGAGTAAGGTGAACGGGCTGTGCACGGGCCAGGCAAACTTATCCAGTGCGATCAGGGGTGGTGGGCTGGACCTTCAATCCCAGCACTCCGGGAGCAGAGGCAGGTAGATCTCTGAGGTCTAGGCCAGACTGGTCTGCAGAGTGATAGCACATGTGTGCATGAGACCGTGTGTGAGAGCATGTTTATGTGCCTGCACGCACACTTGAGTGTGTGTGTGTGTGTGTGTGTGTGTGTGTCTAGCTTCTCAACATAGGAACTACTTTAAGACTCGATGCATACCTTCAAGTGTTGAGTAAAATGTTATTTTCTTTTGTAAATTTTGTCTGTTAATTGAAGTCATAGGATTTTTCTTGTTTTAGCCATGTAGCTATTCTGTTAAGGAGTATATAGGCTTAGATAGCTTTCTTATGACTTTAGATAAATCTGCCTATGTGCGTGTGTACGGTTATATTTTAACTGTAAACAATATCTTTCTAAGTCATTTTTACATGTGTGCAATGCAGAGGGCTGAGCTTAGCACCTGGCGTATGCTGGGCAACTGTTCTGACACCGACAAATCCCCTGTTCCTCTCTATCTACATCCCTTTTTAAACATTAAAAACTTTTAGATTTATTTACTATATTTTGTGTGTATGAGTGTTTGCTTGCACGTGTGTGTGTGTGTGTGTGTGTGTGTGTGTGTGCATGCCTGGTGCCTGGGGAGGTCGGAATGGGGGGTGGATCCCTAGAACTGGAGTTTCAGATGTTGTTAACCAGCACATGGGTGCTGGGGACTGAACCTAGTTTCCCTGGGCCATGTCTCCAGCTCCTCCATCTACATGTCAGAATGGAATTCACAGGCGCTGGTCGCCACCTCCACCAAAGGAAACTGATTGCCAACCGATTTGTCAACTTTTGCTTGCTTGGCAAGATCGCTCTCCCTCCCCCTCCCCCAAAATAATGCAATCGCTTTAAAAATAATGCAATCACTTTATTGTTAAGAGCTCAGGAATAAAACTTCCATACCGCCAGATTAAGGTAGCATTCAAACACTTGCCCAGTCCCAATGCTTACGTCTCAGTGAGCTCCTGTGCACTTGGAGGACGCTCTGATGCTTGGGGATTAGGATTTTACACCTCACTATCAATTACGTTTTTACTGACTTACTAACCACAAAAAAGGAACTACGATGGGTTTGAAACTGGAAAACTAGTAACTTCCTACCCTCTTTCATGACTCATGCCTTTTACCTGCAGTGAGTCCTTCTTTGCCGCCCAACGTTACCCCCTTTTGGGTTCTTTCTGAATGCTACACAGTGCCCACATTTAGAGATGATTGCATACAGGTGTATATCCATTACAGACTGGGGCGTGAAGACGAGAGGAAAACGTCCTTCTTTCTTTGTGGGATCGCTTGGCCCTGCTTAATTAACAGTGCATGTCCTCAGTCCATCCATGTTCCTGCAAAGTTCACAACTGCCTTATCTTTACAGCTGGAAAGCATTCCGTGGCGCGTGTTTTCATTACCCACTTGTTGGTGGGCATCTAGGTAGGTTCCATTTCCTCATTTCCTTGCTACTGTAAATAGCGTAGCAATAAGCATGGAAATGCAGGTATCTCTGTGGCGGGGTACGGAGTTCTCTGTGTCTATGTCAGGGAAGCCTCTTCTTTATGCAATATCAGAGACATACTGACGGAAATTTTCCAATCTTCTCTTTTGAGACAGGGTATTGGGAGATTTTTCTCCATCTAGCCTCAGTCCCACCCAATGGGGTCCCCTCAGCCGCTATGAAATAACCACTCTGACATTTAATATCTATTTATAATTGTTTGGCCATTGGCTCAGGCTTCTTACTGGCTAGCTTTCTCTTAATTATTAACCCATAACTATTAATCTGTGTATCTCCACATGACCTTATCTTACTGGAGAATACCCAGGCATCCTAACTTCCCGGTAGCTACATGGCATCTCTCCAACTCCTCTATCCCTGTTCGGATTTCCTGCCTGGCTAAGTCCTGCCTGTCCAGTGGCCGAAACAGCTCTATTCATCAACCAATAAGAGAAACATATATTCACAGCATACAGAAGGCCATCCCCATCAACAGGGTCTCCTTAAATGGCTCAGGATAGCCTTGACATGACCCGACAACTCCCCTGTGTCAGCCTGGGGCTCTGTGCTGGGATTACAGGTGTGTACCATCATCCCTGGCTCAGTTTCTGAGTCCTTGGATCCCTTTGTAGAGCTGACACACCATCTTGGAGAAACAGTCCTTTCTCTAAGAGAAGACCTCACCGCCTCACTTCCAGCCACCATTTTCCAGTTGTTTTTGAGGGGCTCCCTGCACAGGGCGGGCTCCCTCCCAGACCCATACCCAAACACCTGCTGCCACAGAGAGACCCTTTATTAAGCAGGGATGACAAGCTAAGTCAGCTGCTTTCTGACTCTGGCAAGTGACCTTGCAGGTGTGAGTTTAAGAGGGGAAAAGGGGGAGGTCTGCGTTAGGGTGGGTTAGGATGCAGCGGTGAAGGAGATGCGGGGTGGGGAAGAAGGGGAGGGGACAAGGGAAGGGGTCTTTGTCCCAGAGGGACCCAGAGGGATGGAGAACCACCTCTGGATGGAGGGGGACAGATGTGCCTCACAGGCAAATGGCAGTTTATAAGACAAAGGGGGGAAGCCCTGGTGTTGGGGTGAGGTGTTTAATTTTAGTTGGGGATGTTAATTAGGTGAACCAAAGAGGCTTTTGATGGTGGACGTTGGTATTCGGCGTCAGGGGGAGGAAGAGGACAAATTAGGGACCGGACCTCGGCGGCCCTCTTTAAGAATGTAATCTAGTGGCTTTTAGCAAGGCAGGGGCATGGGAAGAAGGGCAAGGCCTGCCACAGCCACGCGCCGGAGGGAGCCGACGTCCCCTCAGTGTCCAGGTGTGATAGCTGTGCCCCTGTACCTTGCATGTTATCCTGCCGTGGCTCCAACATCACACTACAGGTCCCGCTGTTTAATTCTGTTTCTTCTTCATACTCTACGAAGCTATGGAACTGGGGTTTTTGTCTTTATCGTTTTGGGACATAACACCGCGCCCAGGAAAAGTCAAATAAGTAGTAATACCAGCGGGAATGGTAATGACCTCAGAAAATGCTCTTCTCCATAGAATCAATAGGTGGAAAAAGTGTCATGAGTCAGGCCGGAGGGAGAGATGGCTGCTTGCCACCAAAGCGTGAGGACACACACAACAAGCCAGTTTCCGCCGTGGCTTGCGTCTGCAACCAGCGTTCCCACAGCAGGATGGGAGGTGAAGGGAGAGAGGCCCTGAAGCCCATGGTCTCCTAGCCTGGACTAACAGCCATGAAGGATGCTGTGTAACCTTTTCCTCTGAGACTGAAACATTCCGTCCTGCTGAGAAGCTCCTTGAGCAGGAAGAAAAACAGCTCAAAATAGCTCCAGGAAGTCCCTGAAACTGACCACATTCATTAGAGCCCCTCCCCGTCAGAGGGGGTCGCCCACTCTCCACCCCTTCCCTTCAACAACAACAACAACAACAACAACAACAAAGACTCAGACCAAAACAGCTGCCTGGGGGAAGCAGAAACCAGCCAGGTTGTCCCGAAGAGGTTTGGACCAACTGAGCCACTTGGAAAGGACACGCTCCAACCGGTTCAGCTGCCCGAGCAATGCATGTCAGGTCCCCAGCTTTTGTGAGCTGACATACGTCTGGGGTGGCCTCTTGTGATGCAGTTGCCTTCAGTCATTTCTGCTCCCATAGGTAACCCCTCCCCCATATTCCTGTAAGTAGCCCCAATAAAACTCACTAGTTCACTACAGAGTCTGTAGTCCAACTCACTAGTTGGACTTTGGTGACATCCAATACTTTGGCGATATATTATTTGTGGCTTATTAAAGCTTGCCTGAGGATTCAGAAAGCAAAGTCAGCCTCAAGCCATAGAGGTCAGGCACACACCTTTAATCCTAGGACTCAGGAGACAGAGGCAGACGGATCTCTGTGAGTTCAAGACCACCCTGGGTTTCACGAGAGTGAATCAGTCTAAAAAAGAAACAGAGCTCACGCCTTTAACCCCAGCACTAGAGAGGAATAAAAGCGGGGTCTTCAGTGGTCAGTCTCAGGAGTCTCCAGCTACGTTGAGAGCAGAGCAGTCTGGGATTGCAGCCTGAGGTTTGGTGGAGCCAGGATCACCTTTCAGTCTGCGGTAGAGTGCGAGCTAGTGGCTTGGCTGCTTTGCTTTCCTGATCCTCAGCTTGAAGCTTGAACCCCAATATCTGCCTCTGGGTCTTCTATTTATTGTGCTACAATTGGCACCCAACGTGGGGCTCAAACCCATGACCCTGAGATTAAGAGTCTCACGCTCTACTGACTGAGCTAACCAGTCTTTGATTTGTCATGCTACCTGCCTGTGGGGTTCGGTGTGTGTGATGCCTCTCTCCCCAGGGAATGCTGTGCCCCACAGCACAGAAACGGGGGAGACCCTAACTCAGCAAAGTGGATGAAGAGACCCTGCTCCCCAAAGTCCCCTGACCGCCACCCCCTCCCCACGAGCAGTGCACCATGGGACGTGTGCATGTGTATGCACACACTCATGCACACTCACACGCAGAAATGATCTGATTGTCATTTGTATGTATATGTAACTTTTTCAGAACTATGAAATTAGGAATTTTAGTACCCATAATATAGAGAAAGCTTTTATAACGCCAGGAAACTCACACACACACACACACACACACACACACAGAGCCCAGATTTTAAAGCAGGCAAAGGACTTAGACACTTCATCAGAGGAGGTACACAGATGGCCAGCATGTGCGGCCACATGAAGATATGCAATGGAACCCGGCACTGATGGATGCAATCAGGACACAGTGAGCACAGCAAGAAGCCACTTTGTCCCCACTCTGGCGTGCAGCGAATGGTATGGAGTAATTTCATACGCCCTGCACATGTCGTCATGTGCCTGGTGATTGTTCACCATTTAAAACATTACCGATATACTTAGACTCACTTGGTGGAAAATTAAAAACGCCTTTAAAGTCCATCAAAAACCAGAGACTCTATAGCATCGCGCAAACAAATGTGGCTCCAACTATATCTAGAAAGGAAGGGTACACCGCAGGCGCCGTTTCCTCCTTTTGCAGACCTGCGGTCATAAGTCAGAGACTTCCCCCATCCGACACCCCCCACCCCTGCACCGCAGGGGTGGAGCTGCGGGGAAGGAGGGCCTGCGCCTTCCCTGAGGCTCTTTCCCGGGTCTAAGCACACGTGTGTTCTTTGCTGTAGGAAGCACGCCCTGAAGCTCTTCGTCATGGTCTACGTGGTCGCCATCACCGGCCTGTCGTGTTACATATTGTTCGTGGATGCCACGTTTCTCTTCGAGCGGTTGCTGCCCAGCGTGCTGGGGCACCGTGCCATGTGGGAGCTTCGGGAGATGGTGGCGCCTTTCCTGAATTTGGAAACAGAGGATTTGTTACCATCCTAAAGATCCAAAGGTTACCGATACCCAGCTCTCTTCCTCGCCAATAAATTTTACATGTTCCTATACTGCAGCAGTTAGCTTATTTTCCAAAGGATACCATTCAGTGTCTTATAAAGGATGACGTTATTATATAAAATTTAGTCGATCACAGAAAACATGAGAAGGATTTCACCAGTTAAACGCAGGACCTTGCCCTGGAGAGGAGGCTAGTCTCGAACTCATGATCCCTTGCCAGAGCCACCCAGGTGCGGGGCGATGGGTGTGTGCTGGGAGGGCGAGCGCTCACAAACAATTCTGGAAAAGCTTTTCTTCTCCTCTCATCCTGGGCACCTCGGGACAGTCATGAATTAGCTCCCCATCGCTCCTACCGCCCCTGTTTTGACTTCTGAGGTCCAAGAGGAGGAAGGATTCCTCTCTCCTGAGGACTGGGGCTCAAGGGCAGTAGCGGGCATTTCTTGATTTCTCAGTGTTCATTTCTCCTACTGACAACCTTTGAAAGAAACGCCTTTCCTTAGCAAAGACAGATGCAAGGGGCCCTTCATACAACACTTTGCCTTCCTGTGAGTAAGAGGCAGCAGACACAGGCACACACACTCATGAGCATAATCATGAACACAGACATACATGCTTGCATGCAGGCATGCTCGGACACACACGCAAACACATGCACACACACGTGTGCGCACAGGTACACATGTGCTCAAGCACACACAAGCACATGCACACACAGGCAAACGCATGCACACATTCACACCTGAGCATGCGCACACATGCACACATACCACGCACACACACACACACACACACACACACACACACACATTACCAGTATGTTGTGTCAGGTGTTCAATGAGAATTTTATGAAAATTTATGTAAAACATTGAGATGTTTGAAATTTTGTCTTTTTTTGTAAGCAAGTGCAGTCTGTTTTCCTGCTGAAACCAGCCAGATCTTGTTCTGGTGCCTACTTAAAAGAATTCTGAGTGCTGTAGGGAAGTTTGAAGTTTTATCCCTAATGATAGGTAATGTGGAAATACGTTTGTTTGCTTGTGTGTTTGTTTTCTAGACAAGACTCCTCTGTGTCTTGGAACTCACTCTGTAGACCAGGCTGGCCTCAGATTCACAGAGGTCTGCCTGCCTTTGCCTCCTGAGTGCTGGAATTACAGGCCTATGCCACCACCACCGCCCAGCTACGTTTGTTTTTAACATGAGAAGTAGTTTTAACCAAGCTTGCAAGACTGGTAGAACCATAACTGGAGTGGGTAGGCAGATGGAGGGTGAGACATTGGTCAAAGCTGCAGGGAATTAGCTGAGCTGGTAGTGTCCTGCTGGCTTTTGTCCTTAGCACTGTGTTAAGCCAGGTGTGGTGGTGCGTGCCTGTAATCCCCGCACTTAGGAGGTGGGACAGGAGGGCCAGGAGTTCAAAATCATTCTCTGCTTCATACAAAGTCAGAAGCCAGGCTGGGGCCTGGGAGTTCGATGGTCTGGGTGGGCTAGCGAGGCAACGATGGGAATGGGAAGGAAATAGACATGGTCAGTACACCCTAAGGTATTTGGTTGCCTAACAGGATGGGCAGAGAGGGCTGTGGGATGTGGTCCCAGTCCTTAACACCTGAACTGGACCATGGGTGGTTCTACAACAGCGAAGAGGAAATCATCCTGGGAAAAATAAACGTAACCAAAGCTGGAAGTTGTTTTTCTGGTTTGTTTGTGTGTGTGTAGCCCTGGCTAGCCTTGATATGTAGGCCAGTCTTGTATGAAATTTGTGCAATCCTCCTGCCTCCGTACCTCCTGCATAGGGATTACAGATGTGTACTACAATGCTTGGTTTATGTCTTTGAGATAACTTGCAATCCCATCATTGGATTTTTGATTTCGCATTCCAGCAGTCACTGGATCATACGAATTTTCCAAACTGAGCTACGGTTCTCTGTGTGCATGTTGTCACCATTCAAACACGGCATGTACAGGAGGGTCCCTGCTGCAGAGTCTAGTCTGTTTCTACTTACATAGATTGGCAACATTCACACAGCCTTGGAAAACTCCAAATGTTACCGTGAACAATGTGTGTGTGTGCGTGTGTGTGTGCGCGCGCGTGCGCAAGTGTATGTATCTATGAATGTGTGTGTATGTATGTGCAGAATGTGTGTGAGTGTATGAGAGTGTGTTTGTATGTGTGAGTATGTGTGCAGGTGTGTGTGTGCGTTTATATAAGTGTGTATGTGTGCATAAGGGTTAATGTGAGTGTATTTGTGAGCGTGCACACGTGTGAGCATGCACATGCCCCAGCATACATGTGAAGGTCAGAGGATGACTTTGGGAGTTGTTTCTCTTCCTTCTTGTTGATGCAGTGTCTCCCATTGCTTCTGGGCTGTATTATGAAAGCTAGCTGGTAGCCGGCCAGCAAACCTCTGGCCACTCCCCTGTCTCTGCACCTGTCTTGGCGAAAGAGTGCTAGATTGCAGATGCGCGCCCCTCATCCAGTGTTTTATGGGTTTGGGGGGATCAAACTCAGATATCGAGCATGTAGAGTGTCAGGTGCTTTTACCCCTGAACTGTCTCAAAGCCTCAAATATCACTTTTATGCTGGTTGTTGGAAAGGTAGCTCGTTTGTGACTACTGCTGGTGACATTTGTTACAGACAAGAGCTAACTGGATTACACATTAGTCACGATGCACTCAAAGCTAATCGGGAGGTGACTAACTCTCTAGGGGAGCGGGAGGTGGAGGGGCTGGTGGGAATAAGAGGGGATTCCCAGGACACGCACAAAGACCTCTGGGTGCAGTGAACACTCACAGGGTTTCGGGATGTATTATTTTTTTAAGCCATGGGTGAAAGCTTGTTTAGATAAAGGGCCCTGTGTAGACCAAATTGTAGACACAGAACTTGGTGTATGCATTTTATAGTTGTCAGGTTAGTTCTTACTGCTGGATACGATACCAGGTGATTCACTTGTAAACCCTAAAAGGAGGTTTTGAGGCTAAGTATCTCACAGACTCGTTGTAGTCATACAGCACAAATAACAACCAAGTCTTGTTTTAAGAAGATTGTCTTAAAGGATAAACTAGTATTTCAGTAACTTATACAATCGGCTTTTCTCGGGATTTTGACAAAGCCAAAGATTTTGTCCCCCAGCAGACTATCCCCGAAATGCAAGTGGTGTTCTTTATTTTCGGTTTGTCTGTGTCTCACACGAGACAGCTGGTCACCAGAACATTCAGTCGCGTGCAGGGAGGGACATTGAATCACGGTGACCTGAAGAGTGGCTACCGGGCAGCTGGCTGGTCTTGCCTGGTTGGGTCAGGCCTTGTTTCAGAACTTTTAATGCCATGGTCTGCTGAGCCCAGCACTGTTCTAAACTGTTAGCTAGAAATGTGTGAGTCAGCGTATGAATATGTGTTCCCTTTGGGACTGTGAGGAGAGGCGAGTGTTCTCGGCCCTTGTGCGTCATGCTTCCTGAGCCATGAAAGTGTGCTGTGGAGCTTTGAACTTGGATCCGAGTCATGCTCTGCCTCCTGTCTCCTGTGGGGTGGAAGTCCTCTAATCTCCCCCTGTGGAAGGTGGTCCTGGCAGCGCCTTCCCTGGTTGCCAAGTTTGCTGGCTGCAGGGTCAGGGTTGTCCCTCAATTGCTCTTGGTAAAGGAGCTGCCACACCCCGGGGTCCCTCTGAGGTTGATCTGCAGTGTCAACCTGACCTAGGAGACTGAGCACACCTCTGGGTGTATCTGTGAGGGTGTTTCAGAGAGGAAGAATCGAGAAGGAAAAGACCCACCACAAACGTAGGCCAGCCATCCCTGTGAGCTTGGGTGGGGTATGGAGGCGAGCTCCGGCATCCATGTCCTTGGGTTCCTGACAGCAGGGGCTATGAAGCTTCCTGCCCCAGCTGCCACGCCACCTCCACCACCTTGATGGACTCTACCCCCTCAACTAGAAGCCAAAACAAATGCTTCCTCCCTCTCTTCTCAGGTGTCTGTTTCCAGCAATGAGGAAAATAACTGATATGGTCCCCTTGTGTGGGAATTGCCTGTGTGGCCAACACAGGGCGCATTTCTGAACCACCCCACCCCCCGCCCCCTGCCCCGCCAGGCACCAGCCCTAACTGTGGGGTCGCCTGATGCCTGTGCTTTGATTATCATCACGCTGCAAGTTCTCCATCTTCCCAACCCCATTCCCAGCATCCATTCTGTGTACCGCCCACACACCCACATGGAAGTCCCGCTTCCCAGGCACGCTAAGACCCCTGGAAAAATAAACGAAGGCAAGTTATGTCAAAGGAGCTAGTCACTAGCATCCATTTTTCTTCTCTCTCTCTCTCTTGTTTTTGCAGAGACACAAAGAGGGGCAGAGAACTGGGGAAGTTTTGCAGTAATCCCGCATGGTGGGATTGCCACTGGTTTCTTTTCCTTCATCAGAAAATTGCATGCAACGAGACCTGTTACTTCTTAACCCTGTTCACCTTAAGGGGTTGGGAGATAGCTCAGCCATTAAGAGCACTGGCTGCTCTTGCCACGGGCGTGGGCTTAGTTCCCATCACCCACATCAGGCAGCTCACTTACATCCTAAATTTAGCTTCAGGGGACTCTAACCCCTCTTCCGGTCTCTGCGGGTACCGCACTCACAAGCCCGAACCTCTTTTCATCTTAAACCAATATCAAATGAAATTTGCAAAAAATAAATAAAATAAAATGACGAACTCACATGCTCTCTATTCAGATTCACAAAATAACCTTCTGACACACTTCATCAATTAATTTGTGTTTCTCAGTTGAAAGTCTGCGTATGCGGTACCTTTCTTCCCATCATGTTTGGAATATGTGTACCCTATAGATCAGCAGTATAATTATGGAATAGGGGACGCTTGATATGGACCCATCCTCCATTATCCATGTCATTTTCCCAGTTGTCTCAAAACTGTCCTGTACGGAATTTCCTTCCATGTGGGGTCTAGGTCAGCGTCACACTTCTGTGTGCTATAGTCTTGGCCACACAGACTTTTACAGAAAGCCCCGCCCCTCCATTTAGGTTTGAGTTCAGAACATACATTTTTATTTCAGGGTTCAAGCTC